TGCCACACCGGGTCCCCGGAGCAGCCCCGTCCCCGCGTGGGGACACGCTGTGTGCCCTCGTCTTGGGCCACATCCCTTGTGGTGAAGTCCTGCAGAGACAGCCCCGGTCCCCGGGGAGGAGTACGTGCTCCTGACGGCGTTTCTGCTGATTGAAGCCATGGCTCAAAGCACAGCCTGGGTCGGGCTGAGGCCATTTGGGGCTGGGGGGAACTGGGTACAAAACACCCCTTTCCTTGCACCCACTGGCATTAAAAAAAGAAAAAAAACCACACTGTATTGCACAAGGGGACACACGGAAAGGATGCAAGAGCACAACCGGGGGACCCATCGGTTGCCTCCATCTCCAGGCTCTGCCTGTGCATCTCGCATGGGGGGGTCACACCGACAGGGTCACTGCGCGGGGCTGTGACCCATCGGGTCCTGCCTCCATCTCCAGGCTCTGCCTGTGCATCTCGCATGGGGGGGTCACACCGACAGGGTCACTGCGCGGGGCTGTGGCTCACACTAGCCCTACGCTGGCCCTCGAGCACGGTGGGTGCTGTCAGCGTCCCCGTCCCTCCCCGGCCAAGGGTCCTGCGGGTCCATCCAGCAGCAGCCGGGAGGGAGGGCTCACAGCACCACAACCTCCCATGGTGGGGTGTCCTCACAGCCCCCCCACTCACCAAAGCAGAACGGAGTTTTCGGCTTCTGTTTCGGGGTGGCAATGCTCACCTGCAACAGGGCAAATTAAGGAAAGAAAAAAAAAAAAAAGATAATAGCACACGATGCTCACCTGCGACAGGGCAAATTAAGGAAAAAAAAATAAAGATAATAGCACACAGTAACGGCAACCACGGGAGCTGGAAGTTTCTGTTGGGCCACGGCCCAATTAGCACATCCTCCCCTAACGGCAGCCACGGGAGCTGGAAGTTTCTGCTGGGCCACGGCCCAATTAGCACATCCTCCCCGTCAGACCCCGCTGGGTGCCACCGTGGGACCCCACGGGGCATCGCTCCCACCCCAGGCTCTGTGTCCCCCCCAGAACGGCCGGGCAGGACCCCCGGCAGCACGAGGCCGAGCTGCAGGAGCCCAGGAGCCGCGGCGCAGCTGGGCCAGCTCTGGGGCAGCGGCCCGTGTCGGGCGGAAGGAGCCCGCCGGCGGCAGCGAGCGCGGTCCCAGGGGAAGGTCAGCGCGGAGTCGGGGCTTTCATCCCCCCCCGCTCCCCCCGGCGCGGGCTGCGCTGCGAAGCAAAGGACTCAGAGCTTTCAAAGGCCTCCAGAATGCGAGTTTCTGCTGGACTAACACAGTCGCTCTTGTCAGCAATTAAGAAAATTGAGGGAAAATAGCAGTGGTTTCTCCCTAAAGAGTAGGAATCATTTATATAAGAATAATACTCCCCGGGGCTCCAAGCACAGCATTCGTGGAGTATTTATTCTGACAGGCTTCCTCCTTTGGAGCCAGTCTATAATGCTTTAAATATGTTTTCTCAAGCAAACCTCCTTTTTTCTGGCATATTTACAGTTGGTAGTTAAAGCCACTGGCATAACCCAATCCTGCAGTTTGTGACCAAACGCTGTCCTGCGGCAATTTGCATTTAGACTAAAACATATATAATTTATAAGAGAGGCTCCGTCCGAAATGGGGAAGGCTCAACCTCCCGGCGTTGCTTCATCTGCGCTTAATTTATAAATCATGATTCAGCAGGAACAGAGAGATCCGTCCGAGTCTTTATCCGGCTCCAGCACGGGGCTGAGCCCGGCGCGGTGGCCACGAGCCCCCGCTCCCCCGGGCAGTGGCCAAGGGGCAGCCGATGGGGCAGGACGGTGGCAGCTCTGCTGTGCTTGGACCTCTTCCTCCCCTTCCCACTGCCCCGCTCAGGGGGTGCAGGGAGGATGGCGGGGGCTCGGGCAGGACCTGGCCTCCAGCACAAGCCATCGCCTCTCCCGGGAAGGCCGCAGGGAGAAGGGGACAGGGGGGACCACTCATTTTCCTTCCCCCAACCCCGACATTACCTTGGAGATATAGGTCAGCTGCAGGGACCCGACAGCACCCGCCCCGATGGCCAGGTTCTGCAAAACATTTAACGAGCGACAGGGGTTAAACGACGGGGGGAAGGCAAAGGAGGCCAGCCAGGCTGTCACTTAGTGTCACCGGGGTCAGGCAGCAGAACCACCGGCCACTTCCCCTCTCCGGGCACCTGGTTCATCTCCTGCCCCACGAGCAGCAGGGACCGGTCACGTTGTGCTGCACTGAGTGCTGTGCCCGTCTCGGTCCCCTCCACACCCCCCGTCCCACTCACCGACCCCCACAGCGGCCATTTGGGTGCCCGATGGGCTACGACCCCCCCAGGGCCCACAGAGGAGGAGTCAGGGCCAGCACTGGCCAGTGGGCACTTCCCCTTCCCCTGAGAACAAGGCAATGAAGAACCTGCTGACGATGCTCCTCAGGAAGGCAGGTGCCTCCCCAGCCCACAGCCATGCTCAGGCACCGCGGGCTTTCCAGGAGGGTCTCCCTAGAGCTCCAGGGCTTCCAAGCTCTTGCTCTTTTGAGCCTGACCTCAAGCACTGGGGTAGCTCCCAGAGACATTGGGCTCCACATGCCCAGACTCCATCTCACCCCACCACCCTGGTCTATGTGCTTGTCCTGCACGACACCACTCCCAAGAGTACACGTATTCCTAGGATAACCCCTTCTCTTTCTTGTTATCCCTGTCCCAACACTAAGCCACAAGGGAGATGTGACACCCCACGTTGGCACAGCATTCCTGCAGCTCCTCCAGGGTACCAATGGCTCCCGGTGCTGCTGGGGCAGTCCTGGAAACCACAGAAGGGGCTGCTCTGGTGGAGCTTGGTCGTGGCTGCACCCAGCCACGGGAGACCCCTGCAGAGAACCGATACCACAACCAGCATCCTCCTTTGGGGACCCAGAGGAGCCACCTCCACCAGGGAGCCTGAGATGCAGCCAAGAACTCACTAGCAAATTCCACAGAGGTGCCCAGCGGGAAGCCAAAGCAGAGGAGCCCACCTGAGGGTTGTCCATGTACCAGAGCAGGCAGTTGGCCTGGGTGTCCAGGATGAAATATCTCCGCAGAAACTTGCCACAGGTCTCATTTTCTTCGATGTCCAGGAACCCGCAGATACGGTTCTGTCGATCCAAGTACGGCATGCCGGGCTCCTTCTCGCATCACCCTGCGGAGGGACGGGCAGGGAGAGGTAAGTGCTCTGCTCCCGCTGCCCAGGGAGCTCCTGCACCCACTGCCAGACGTGCCGGGGTGCCAGCGCGGCCCCACAGCTCCCACCCGAGCTCACAACACAAGGATGCCAAGAGGGAAGGGACAACCTGCTGGGGCTGGACCAGAGGAGCACATCAGCTGCCTCCCCTCGCTGAAAAACGAGGCACTTCCACAGACGTGTTCCTCCCTGTGGAGGTGGAGATGGTTCCCCAGCCCCGAGAGCTGCCAACCCCCCCCAGCCAGGCTCCAAAGGCCCGAGAGCTGGCACGGGGCCGGGCGGAGGGGCTGGGGGTTGCTGCTCAGCCAGCTCCCCCCTCCGCATCACATCCCACAGCCCAGCATCCTGCCCGTCCCGCTTCCCAACCTGCCCAACACCTCCCGCTCCTCTCCCAGACCCCCACAATTTAACCCCCAAAAAGCAAAGTCCCCGAGCGTTTGCACTGAGGAAAGCTGCCAAACACAACCATCACCCAGCACGCCTCGGTGACGAGCGGGTGCCGGGCCCGGGTGCAAGCAGGAGCAGGACAGAGCAGACCGAAATAGCTCAGCGAGGAGCTGCAGGGCTTTGGGAAGAACCCGGGAGCTGCAGATGGGCTCTGTGAACAAACGCTCACCAGCCCAGCTCCAAGACCACTCGTGGCACCAGGGCCACCGGGACACCCCGGGGCAGTGACAGAGCGATGCCGAGTGACAGCCCCAAACTGCCCCTGTCACACGGTGGCTGCATCCCACCGAGCTGCCCTTGGGAGAGCTCAGCAGCGTGGGGCAGCCCTTGGCACAGCTCAGGCCACCGACAAAGTAGCCACAAAGAATTTGATGTGAGACACCAGGTCGCCGGGAACCATAAGAGAAACTCATCCCGAAGCAGCCTGCGCGCCAGAGAGAGCCCGAGCACACTCCCAGGAAATGGAAAACAATCTGCAACTCCAGCAGAAAATCTGTGCAGCCAGGATGCCGAGTCAGCAGGGAAAACAATGACCCATCGCCGCGGGGCCAAGCCGTGTCACCAGGTCTGCCGTGGGCACGGACCCCCCGGCCGGGGCGAGCCACCCCCGAGCTCGGGCTCCGAGCAGAGCGGGGCTGGCACCAGCCCCCCTGGCAGCCCCCACAGGGACCCCTCTGCGGGACCAGGGGGAAACGCCGCTGCCGACCTGCCATGATGGCCCTGAGCTGCCGGGCTGAGAGCACGGCGGCCACGGTGCCCGTGGATGGGCTTTGCCTGTGTCCCCTGTGGATGCAGGATGTGGGGGACCCCAGCATCACCCCATCACCCCACGGCAGCGGGTGCACGTTGCCGCCGCTTCCATTCGGCTGCGGTGCCCACCCGGGGGGAACCCACAGCACCCCTGGGTCTCTGCACCATCGATTCCAGCCCCGGGGGGGAAGCGAAAGCAGCACCGAGAGCCACAGGGGGCCGGGCAGAGCCCCCTCCCCACGGCACGGGGGGAAGGAGGCAGCGGTCCCGAAGGACACGAGCTGAGCCCCGTGCGGTGTGTCCGGTAGAAGAGGGGTGACTCGCGCAGGTGCCAGAAATGGAGGCTGCACAAATAAAAGATCTCATGCAGAAAAGGAGGAAATACTATTTTTGAGCCGAATAGCGGCAGTGGAGTGGGGCCCTGAGAGGCAAGTGTTGTGCAAGAGTTGTGGTGCAGCTGCAAAGGTAGAGGTGGTAGAGAAAACAAGCCAACCTGTTGTCAGGATCTCAGGGTTTATCACCAGGGTTTCAGAGATGGGTATCAGGGCTTTGCTAAGAGGGAAATCGCACTGCTTCAGTAGAAGAGAGTGGTTTAAAACAACACATTTGCCCTGATGCAAAGGTTTTGTGGGCACTTCACATTTTACTGCTTGTCCGTGGGCGGGGGGAAGCACAGGGAGAGCAGATTCCCAGGTGCCTTCAGCCATACCCATACGGTCAGAGCAGGCCTCATAAATCGCCTCTTTCTCCGGCTGCTGATGTAAGTCCAGAGATTTCTGCTCAGGAGAGGGATGAGGAAGAGCCGGGCCGTGTCGCAGCCAGCGCAGGGACGAGTCCCCAGCCCCATGGGACCGCATCGCCAGCCCCACAGGACTTCCTGCATTCCCCCTCTGCCATCCTGAATTCCCAGCTTTTTCAGAGTCATAATATCCCACCAAAAAAGGACAACCCTCTTCTGGCTCAGTTAAAGAGATGACAAGAGCAATTAGGCTACAGAAGAAGGTCTACAGCATAAAATCCCCTCTCACCTGCCTGCTGAGACACGGGTGAGCGCTCCCCAGGGAGAGGCAGAAGGTGTGGGGCACCCTCTGAACGGCCCCCTCGCCCCTCTCTGCGGTCACTGCTGGCTCAGGGGCCTCGTGTGCTGCCACACAGCCAGACTTTCCAGGAAGCAGCCCCGGGACACCAGCACTTCACGGCACCATCACCGCTCTGTCCCGCTCCCAACTCAGCCACAGCCACAGCAGCGCGACCCCGGGGCACCCGGCAGCAGGAAAAGCCACGGGAAGGGGAGAGGTGACACTCCGAGCGTGGGCCAGAGGCATCTCCTCGGCACCTCACCCCACAGCACGGCCCACTGCACCTGCAGGCAGCACAGCATCACCCTCCTCCTCCTCTTCCTCCTCCTCCTCTCCCACTCCCGTCTGCCCGAGCTGCCCCGGTGCCGGTTGGGGGGCAGGACGACCACCCCCGTTCCACGAGGGCTCCGAGCCGCGGTGCCCACTGCCCCCACGCACCCCCGAGAGCCCCGGGTGATGGCTGCAGCGGGTGCAGCACCACTTCCTTCTACCTGCCCTTGCAGAGGAGTTTCCAGAGCCGTCCCCGGCCGGCGGCTCACGCAGCGCACACACCAGACACACGGTGTGGGCAGAGCCCGGCCACCAACTCCTGCTAATTCCAGACATTTGCCTTGATGAAATAATGAACCTGTTGAAAGGCAGGCTGGGAGCGGCGAGGATGCGCGTCTTCACTCACCCCCCAACAGGGGAACGCGCTCTGAGCGGCTGCGGACCCCAAATCCCCCCCCCATTCACCACTGACCCAGCAGAGAGCCGTGCCTGCAGCGCTCCCCGAGCCCCCGCAGGGACCCCCCTCCCAGACCCGCGGCACCCCCCGCCAGGAGCATCCCCCGCTGCCCCCGGGTCCCCCCGAACGTGCCGAAGCCACCGGCCCCGCCGCCGCCCCCGCCGCCCCCGGGAGGCCTCTTCCCCCCGGCCGAGGCACGGATGCTCCCGGCCGCCGCCACCGTACCTCCCGCCAAATCCCCGGACCGACGGACCATCCCCACGGCGGCTGCTCCACCTCGGGGCCGGACCCCCCCTCCACCTCCCGGGGAAGCCCCTTCCCGGGGGGGAGCCCCGGCGGGTGGGGAGGGATGGAGGGAGGATGGGGACGGGGCGGCGAGGGTCCCCAGCCCGCCCCCGCCGGGAAGCGCTGCCCACGGGCACGCGTGTCCCCCGCACTCACCCCGCGTTG